TTCCAGATAGCATCGGGCAACTTTCTAAGTTAGAGAGCATGGATCTTTCTAGGAATCAATTGAGCAGCGTTCCAGATAGCATCGGGCAACTTTCTAAGTTAGAGGGCATGTATCTTTCTGGGAATCAATTGAGGAGCGTTCCAGATAGCATCGGGCAACTTTCTAAGTTAGAGAACATGGATCTTTCTAGGAATCAATTGAGGAGCATTCCAGTTAGCATCGGGCAACTTTCTAAGTTAGAGAACATGGATCTTTCTGGGAATCAATTGAGCAGCATTCCAGATAGCATTAGGCAACTTTCTAAGTTAGAGGGCATGGATCTTTCTGGGAATCAATTTGGAACAGGATTTCCTAAATGGCTTCAATTACCGAAGACAATAAAAAGGATTGATTTCTCTAATGCTAACATCTCAGGTCATCTTCCAGAAAACATAGGTCATATGATGCCAATGTTGGTGGGATTATTTCTTGAAAATAACCTCATGAACGGTTCAGTTCCAAAGTCATTATGCAATTTAAAACATTTGGCAGTACTTGCTCTCTCAAACAATATGTTATCTGGAACTATTCCAAAGTCGTTATGCAATTCAAAATCTTTGAAATATCTTGATCTCTCAAACAATAGGTTATCTGGAAGTATTCCTAATTGTTGGAGAAATGATCAATCATTCCTTTTTATTGATCTATCTTCTAATAATCTCTCGGGTTTATTTCCGAGCACAATGGTGGAGCTTTCTTCTTTAAGTGTACTGCACTTGAACAACAATAGTCTCCATAGGGAACTACATGTGGTGTTGAAAAAATTCACTTCTTTAATGGTTTTGGATTTGGGTGAAAATAAATTTTCTGGAAATTTAACAAGCATTGTAGGGGGGGAGATCCACAACCACTCTTTAAGGGTTCTCCGACTACGAAAAAATTTGGTTTCTGGTTATATTCCTTCGGAACTATGCTCTCTCTCTCAAATGCAAATTCTGGATCTTGCGGATAACAATTTGACAGGAAGGATTCCTTCTTGTTTTGGAAAGTTTCCGATCATGGTGAATGCAACACAATTGATCCATGACTCAAGTGATGAATTTTGGGATCATACACCTTTGATGGAGGTTAGGAAAGGGATATACCTTGTGTATTCTTGGGATCGGGCACCTTTGATGGAGGTTGTGAAAGGGAGATACCTTGAGTATAAAAGACAACCTTTGAGACTCGAGATTAGTATAGATCTTTCAAGTAACAATCTAATAGGATCCATACCAGAGGAGCTAGTATTCCTGAAGGATTTGCACAATTTGAATCTGTCTTGGAATCATTTTTTAGGAAAGATTCCTGAGAAAATTGGACAAATGGAGAATTTGGAATCTCTTGATTTCTCTAAGAATGGCCTTTCAGGAAGGATCCCGAACAGCATGTCAAGTTTAACCAAGTTAAGCTACCTCAACTTGTCTTACAACAACTTGTCAGGGCCAATTCCAACAGGCTATCAACTCCAAACACTTGAAGATCCAACCATGTATGTTGGCAATCCTCAACTTTGTGGAGCTCCACTCTTGAAAAAATGCTCAAATGATACACTACCTCCGACAACTACCAACTTCAAGGACAATGATGAAGGTGCACTTAAAAGAATGTGGTTTTACATTGTCATGTTGTTAGGCTTTGCAACTGGATTTTGGGGAGTCGTGGGAACTTTGATTTTTGTAAAAAATTGGAGATATGCTTATTTTCAATGGGTGGATGATGTGCAACACTGGATACTTGTGGTTATAACATTGAAGGTGGCACAATTCAAGAAGATGTTCAATGGCAACCAAGAGTATTAGTGAGTTATATTTGGAGTATGTTTTTGCTAAATTTATTATTAAGTTAGTTGGACAACCCTCTGTTGCAAGGTATAGTGTTAGGTCCAACTTTGAATGGCCCAACATTGAATTGGCCAATTTTAAATGAACACATAAGTATTAAAGTTTGTAAAGTCTTTGATAATATAACATACGCTATAGTTTTATACGTTTCATAAAAATAAAAATTCATAGATTTCGCAGAAAATAGAAAATTCTATACAAGGCTTAAAGATTGCATTGATATCTATATTTTCAGTTTTGTTAAAAAGGGACTCTCATCGCCCAGCCCATAGGTTTAGGCATAACAAATGCCATACATCTATAGAATCACCTCATAAATGTGTAAGGCCATCTACTTGCATATCTGTACAATCTCCCATAAAGTTTTAATGTAGCCTTATAACTTTAAAATAAACAATTCCATTAACAAATCTTAATAGTTTCCAAATAACAAGATCAAATCTCTTAACCAAAACATAAATTGATTAACATCATATTCCATAAAACCAAATAAGCTTCCAATTGAGTTATTGCTAAATTTTTGCCAATTTATTCTAAGGATCTGTCAATCCCCATGCAAAACCCAATGCTCATATTTCTTCGCCTGAAATGAGATGAAATTTGAAATGTAAGTTTAAGAACTCCATAAGTAGTATATCCATTCATCACAACCAAGCATAGAAATTTAAAATTGAATTTTTATTGAAACTAAAATGATAAAAGTACATTTCTTTCCTCCAAATCAAAATATTTTATTTTTCATCCCTTATGGCTGTGTAACAATTCACAATCCATAATCCACAATCCACAATCCACAATCAATGATACTCAATCATCAATCCATAATACACAATCCATAATTCATAATCTATAAAGCCCGGATCTATCACAATACCAATAACTCAACCTTTACATGGGTTAATCATACAACGAGGACAAATAAAAGAAATCGTTCCAAAATAACCATTTCAATAATATTGGAGAAACAAATTTAAATTAGCGACCTTTACATGGCCACAATCTCACCCCAAACGTAAATAAAAATATTGTGCTTGGTTAACAAATCATCTTATTTCATCATTAAAAACATTTTAGTAAAAATCATTCTC